CTGCACCAGCCAAGACTATCCCTTGGTGGCATTATTCAGAAAGGCGCCTCTTAGGCGCTAGGCGACAACCAAACGTGTAACCTAGGGCAAGAGCAGGGCTCTAGGCAGCCAGTGAGGTTTTCCGGCAAGGAATCGACCTCACCGGCGAGGAATTATGGGGAGGGAGGAGCCAGTGTGGGGAGAGAGCACCCAAAGGCTCTGGTGAGATGACGAAGTGTGGTTGGTCGCTGGTGGTTTGTTGTCGCTGCTATTGCTCATGCAGTCATGGTTGCTGTATATGGTGGCGGCCCTTCTTTTCTTTCTTTTTCCTTTTTATTTGGCCTTCCACACTGTCAGATTTCTCCCTATGAGCTCTCCAGGAAGTAGCTGCTGATTGTGCTGATGACCGCCTAGGCATAGCCTAAGTGGGCTAAATGCTAGGCGACAGCAAGCCTAGCACTATGTTGAACCTTGCCTGGTGGTATTTTTTAATAGAAGGAAACGACCTTAGTACTCATGCAGGTAGCCAACTAACCAGTGCTCAGCTCTATCGCTAGGTTCAGAATCTGTGCAGAATTTGTTTTGGTGGATCGTAGAAGCACCTCTTATATGGGGTATGCATTGGCCGGGGTTGATTTTTTGTAAGACTAAATTCGTGATTGTGCAAAAAGCTGGCGTTAATCAGTGGCCTTTATTGTTTGCTGCACTGATTTCATATATTATTTTCTTGCACATGTGGAAGGATGATGTACTGTACTACTATTGGCTGCTGATTATGTCTTGTTAATGGATTTTCTGTAATTTTGCCAGCTGCAACTTCTTAAATTTTGCTCGAAATCGTCAATGTCTCGAATGCAAAGTTGATGGACCAAAGAAGATAGAAGCAGCCATCAGTGAAATGAAAATGGGAGATTGGATTTGTCCAGGGTAATTATCTGACCTGGTATACATTTTTCCCTAATGTTTCAGTTTCAGCAGCTCTCCATTGTCCATACTCACTTGTTTGCGCTTTCAGATGCGCTTTTATGAACTTCTCTCGCAACAAGATGTGTTTTAAATGTGAAGGGCAACGGCCCAAAAGGCAGCTTAACCCTGGAGAGTGGGAATGCCCCTCGTATGTGCTAACCACGTCCTCTTTGTGACTCTTCCCTGCTTATAACGAACTAATAAGAAATTACCTCCCTTGTAGATGTGATTTTGTTAACTTCCGACGGAACCAGGAGTGCAAAAAGTGCAGCCACGACCGCCCCGAAGACGATACCCAGGATAATAAGCTCGGATACGATGTGTGGAGAAACACCAAGGGAGCTAACAAGGATAGAAGCTTTTACTCTGTTCGTCAGGAAGACGACGACGGCGATGAAGAGGGGTTGCCATACAAGGGGGAGGAGCGCAGGCATGTAGCGAGCAGAAGGGCGTCACCAGCCCGGAGGGAGTTCGCGGGCAAGAGTAGTAACCATGGCGACGAAGACGATGCCTTGCCATACAAGGAGGGAGACAGGCGTGTGTCGAGCAGAAGGGCCTCACCAGCCCGGAAGGGACACGCGAAGAATGACGGTGATGATGAGGATGTCGAATTGGATGTCTCGCCCTATGATGGGGCGCGCAAGCATGGATCGAGCAGAAGGGCGGCGCCAGGCCGGAGGGGATTCACCAAGGATGAAGACGACGTGTTGCCGTATGAAGGGGCGCGCAAGCATGTGGTAAGCAGAAGGGCAACCCCATCCCGGAGGAGATTCACTGCTGCTAGAGGAGAATAGGCAGTAGCTATACTACACCATTGATGCCTTTTCTTGTAGCAGATGTGATACCATATTGCGCATATTTTAGCTGAGCACAAGTCACGAAATAATAGCGATTTTGGCAAATTACTTGCATTTTTGGAAATTAGAAACGACATTGACAGCCTCATGCATGCACTTCTGATGTGTGACATAATCTGAGTAGTTAAAAACAGCTGTTTCTTGGCGAGGTGTATTTTTTGTGTGCACCAACGATGACCATGCCTTGTACTTCTCTTGTGAACTGACACAGGCTGGAGGGGCTTAAAGATTTTATGAGAAACGAATGCACACAACAACATCAACGTCACCGGAGATAACAACAAGCATAACATGGTCCGCAGATGTGGCACAAGAAACTAACGAGATTTACGAAAACCGTATCCAAAACTGTACTGCAAAACCTAAAACTTCGATGTTATAATCCGTCTCCATACAGCCTTATTCTGTGAGAGTAAAACAGACGCACACACATATATTTGACACTTTAAAAGACATCATCAACACGCCTAAATGACTCGAGTCACAGCGGCCATCAAGCCAGGCATCAGTCCGGGAACCTCAGATCGCCTCCCTGATGACAAGGTTGATGCCGAACGACGCCGTGCAGATGATCAGCCCCATTATCGCCGGGAAGTTGAGCCCCCTGCAGAGTTCACCAAAGCGAAAAGGAAATCGACGAGATCAGAACCGCCTCGACGACAAATGAGAACTGACTGGACAAAAAAAAGGGAATGAAATCCTTCTAGCAGTTGCCGTTTGGTGTCATTGACGCGTTGTTCGGCATCATAAGCTGCAAATTTGGTTCAAGTCAAACATTTCTCACACTCAATTCAGAGCTCACGACTTTGCTCCTAGTAGTTACCATGTACTCTATAAAACCGGAGTGGTTGACATAGGACAGAAGCTTAGGTAGGATTGCAACACCACATCCAATTATCATGGTCTGTAAAATTCCCAGGACCGAGAAATTTCCTAAGAAACTAGTAGCTAAACATGCTGGAAATCAAGTGAATTTCTTTTGCCCCACGTCCACACAATGATTTGAATTGGACGCCATCATCATCTGAATCATCGCTGAGCGGAAAGCAAACACACATACCCAAGCTTGTAGCGGTTCTCCGGGACGCCGGTGGCGTAGCCCTTGAAGTAGAAGAACCTGGCGACGGTGTAGAGCAGCCCCAGCGCGGCGGCGGCGACCGGGTGCTGCAGGCCGCCGAGCAGCAGCGTGGCGAAGAAGAGCGGCATCATCTCAATCGAGTTCTGGTGCCCCCTCTGCAACCCCCACAGCACAAATCCACAAGAATTCAGCCAAGTCTCGCTCGAAATCGATCAGCGGACGGAGAGGGCGGGCGATGGGGAATCTGGCGGTGGCGGACGGACCTGGACGCAGTTGAAGCGCTTGGCGTCCTTGTTCTCCGACTCGGTGGCGTACATGGTGGGGTAGAACACCTTGTACCTGGAAGAAGGAGCAGCGGCGCAGGATCGTCAAGCTCCAAGATCAGTTTCTCCGGAACAAAAATGGGCAAGAAACACCTACTTCTTGCGGGCGGCGCCGACCTGGAAGCTCATCCAGAAGTTGAGGAAGGCGTAGGCCACCACGACGAGCACCACGTAGCCGTACTCCTTGGGCAGCTCCACCGACACCGCCATCGTCGTCTACCTTGGTCTCTCCTCTTGGTTTGCCTTGGAAGCTGAGATTGGATGATGGGGGGAATGGAGAGGAGGTCTATCTTATAGGAGGAGAGTGGAGAGAGACCGGAGGTGTCTAAGAGAAAGTCCTCCTGCCCTGCGGCGGCCCAAGAATGCTTTGACCGATTCCCTCCCTCGAGCCCATCTTGGCAACCCCACCTTTGTTCTTCTCGCTCTGTCCCTACTTTTCAACGAGGCATTGGATTTAATGTTGATACCAATTTCAAAAAAATAGTGATTTTAGTGAGATCGCCACTGTTCATTCCATTGGAAATTTATCATCCATCCCAACCTCTTGATAAAAACATTTGCTATTCCTGTCATGCAGTTAAACAAACTCAAATTCAACTATGTATCTTCCCGTCCCTACATTTTTATGGTCTTGCTTGCAAACTTCAAAGAGGCCCACGGCCCTCTTATTTCCTCTCCTAACTCTAGGCGGCTAGCGCAAACTCCCTTCTGTCTGCTGCTCTGGCGGCCGATGGCGGAGAGCAGAATTCATGTGCCTTCACTCTGGTTAACAGTTTATTAGGGTTTTTTAGTCCTTGCAGGCGCGATGCTTGGATGGATGTGTCTCTTCTTCTTCTTCGAGTTCATCTGTCTGGACGTAATCAACGGAGCTCTGGCATAGAGTCCTACCATCTCCTTGGGGACGGTGAAGTTAGAGTGTATCGTCATGTGACCAGATTTGGAGTCAGGTGTTTCAGGTCTATGCAAGGGTTCAACGACGACAATTGTGGCTCTAGTGCGCTGTTCCTTAGGGTAGGTGCATGAAGACTTTCCAGCTATAATTGACAAGGTCAAGCTGGCTCGGGTAAGGGAGTGGCGACAACGGCGTGTTAGTGGCTTGTTCTGACTACAATAATGGTCGTTCGGTGATCTCAGAATCTCAATGTAGTTTTTATTATGTTTGAGATTTTTTGTACTTCTGATGAATCTTATGATAGATCTGATAGTTTCTTGCAAAAAAAAAAAACTTCAAAGAGGCCCTTAGTGAGATCCATAGTGATGTTTGAAGACGATGGAAAAGCTGGAATGGACAAGGTCATTTCGACATGGGGAGCTACATTCTGCTCCAGTCAACCGGAGGCCTGCGTCACGCGTGACGTCTGCCTAAACGTTGCCGTAAGAATCGTCCCAGGAGTGATTGTTTAGTCCTCCTGTCTAATTTCCTTTGTTTCTCAGATGCGGGGCAGGTGGTCGTGGTTAAGAGCACGCATCGTGCCAAACGAGGCATCAATGGGAGTTGGAAATGACTTTTAGTTAGTTATCTTTTCTATTGCAAACTCTGTCTTCGGGCTTCAACGCTGATCTGTGCTTCGACACCCGTTCATGGACGGGGAAGACCAGTCCACAAAATTGATATGAAAACCGGTCATCCAACGCTACATGTATACATTTCAAGCCGGGTTCAACAAACCAGACAAATTTCATGCAAATTCTATGAATTTCATTAAAGTTCCGATATAATTTACATAAAACAGATGGTATTTCGACCGTTTTATTAAAAACTCTCTGTAAAAAAAAATCCTGTACCGGATGACCACCTTATACGTGTGTCCGCTCTATCCTGCCGCACCGTTGTTGGCATTCGTGTCGTCGTCCCTCAAGGGGTGCAAGGCTGCTGGAGGGCCGTGACAAACCTTGTCCGGCAGCACCAGGCCGGACGAGATTCACCAAGAATGAAGCCGACGTGTTGCCGTACGAAGGGGCGCGCAAGCATGTGGTAAGCAGAAGGGCAACCCCATCCCAGAGAGGAGGTTCACTACTGCTAGCGGAGAAAAGGCAATAGCTATACACCATTGATGCTTTTTCTTGTATCATATATGATACCGTATTGCATATATTTGAGCTGAGTGATTTTGGCAAATTACTTTCCTTTTTGGAATTTAGAAACTATGTTGACAGCCTCATGTATACACACTTCTGACGTGTGAGATAATCTAAGTAGTTAAAAGCAGTTGTTTTTTTTAGAGAAAAGACTAAGCCGCGCCTGAGGAAGGCCCGAACCTAGTCCGATTTTGAATTACAAACCCATCAACCGGCCAGGATTACAAGGGCAGTTACCATACAGCAGGAAAAAGAAAACGGCGCAAGATACAAGGTGCTGGAGCAGCTTACAACCAGAGAACAAAGCAAGCAACACAAGAAAGTTGAAGAAGGAGTCGCCAACATTGGAAGGCAGCCTCAAAGCCCACTTCACAGGACCGAAACACGGTCGCCCTGCCATCCGTCTGCCTCCGAAGAGGGCCACTACCCTCTCGCCCTGGCTCGAAGGGCGCCGGACCATCGGAAGGCAAAGCGCTCACCATGAGCTCGGATGAACAACGACGACAGAGTTGGCACGGGAAGGAGATCGGAGCGCAGCGGGCATAAGCATAGCCTTCCACAACCTCTCGGACCGCCACAGCCAGGCTGCACAAGCGCAAGCAGAAACGCGGCACTGTACGACGAAGACCGGCGTAGAAGAACATATCGTGGGCGAAGACGAAGAAGAGCATGAACGCCATCAGCTATCCCAATCCCAGCAGCCGAGTGCCAACGTCACACCTGCGTCCCCCAGACGACGCCTCCAAGAAGGGTAGCAACAAGCAGTGACGCCGCCGTCCACCAAGGGGACAAGGTTTTCACCCAAAGCAGAGTGCGAGGGTAGGAGGTAGAAGGGGACCTCAACGAAGCTTCGAAGGAGGGAACCGGTGCCAAAGGCGTCGCCAACGTCGTGTCCTCCACCGCAAGCCAAGGGTTTCCCCCGGCCGCCCTCCGCAACGCCATATCCCTAGGTCGAAGAGGTCGACATGACCGGAGCCGACCAGGAGTGCACAGACCCGGGAAGGGACAACGGTCATCGACGCACCGGTGCACAAGGCCGCGGAGAGCCAAGCACACCACGGCGCACGGACACCACATCCTTGCCGCCCGCGCGGCCAAGGTCACAGTACAGCACCACCGACGCCACTCGCCGCAAAGCCGACGCCGTCCACCAAGTCTGGGGCCGCCGCCCCGGCATCCACCCACCATGCACATCCCATCCAAGCTAGTCACTACGCCCACCATCACCACCAGGAGCACTACCACAGCCACCTCTGAGCACCATGAAGAAACAGGAGGCGCCTGCAACCGCCGCCCCACCCAGATCCGGCCGGAAAATTGGTCAACACCTGCTGGGGCGCCAGATCCGGCGACACAGGGCGGATGCGACGGCCTGAGCAGGAGCAGGGCCACAACCCTGTCCCGGCGCTAGTTGGCCGGATCGAAAGGCCCGCCGCCACCGAGGCCCCCACCAACTCCAGATCTGGCGGGTGGAGCAGCAGCAGGAGCCAAATCGCAGAAAAGACGGACCCAGGCCAACACCGGTGGCCACAGCAGGCACCGCGGTGGGCCAGCAGCAAGGGAGGGCGTCGCCGCCGGGAAGGTGTCGGGGGAGGACCGGAAGCAACGACCATGGGGGCGGGGCGACGGGGAGGACCAGTAGATGGCGTGCGGGGAAGCCCCGCCGCCGCCTACCACCGCGCGGGCCAAGCCCGGCGGCAGTCGCCAGCGGCAGCGGGGGAAAGAGGACAGGAGGTAGGGGACCGAGGCGGCGCGAGGGCTCCGCCCCCGAGTCGCCCGCTCGGGCGACGCGGGGGAAGCGGGATGAGAAGCCGTTTCTTTTCTTCTTGCGCCAAGCAGTTGTTTCTTGGCGAGGTATACTTTTTTGTGCACACCAACGGTGAGCATGCCTGTACTTCTCTTGTGAACTGACACACACTGGAGGCTTAAAATTGTATCAAAAACAAATGCATACAACCCGGACTGGACCTAGCATTATGGAGACCCTAGTGTGATTAAGGCGCAATAAACATTAACAAAGTAGTATCATATATACTTGTAACAATAAATATGTATATCAAGAACAATATAAAGGCATAAACTTAAAAATAATAATTTTAGTTCGCAAATAAACTCTGAATACATCATCTATATGTGATTATATGATGTAAATAATGATTATAATATACTCAACTATAAATAATTATTAAATAAATACAACCTGATGAAGTGAGCTGAGGAAGGGGGCATATGCCCCTTGTTGATTTTTTGTTCCGCAAATAATATTTTCTGTAATTTATTTAAGAATGTAGATATATTGGGCCCTTATTTAAGATGGGCCCTAGGCCGCCGCACCTTCTACCATGGCCTAGGGCCGGTCCTGCATACAACATCAACGTCAAAACTGACCGGAGATAACAACGAGCATAACATGGTCCTCAGATGTCGCACAAGGAAACTGGCAAGGAGATTTATGGAACCGTACTGCAAAACCTAAAACCTCGATGTTACAAACCGTCTCCATCCATGCTTATTCTCTGAAGAGTAAAACAGACGCACACACATTTTTGGACACTATAAAAGACACCACCACCGCGTCTAAATGACTCGAGTCACAACGCCTATCAAGTTAGACACATCAGTCCGAAACCTTAAATCGCCTCCCTGATGATAAGGTTGATGCCGAACGACGCCGTGCATATGATCAGTCCGAATATTGCTGGGTAGTTGAGACCCCTGCAGAGTTAACCAAAGCAAAAAAGAAATCGGTAAGATCAAAACCGTTTCGACGACAAATGGGAACTGACTGGACAAAAAAGGGAATGAAATCCTTCTAGCAGTTGTCATTTGGTCGTGTTATTCGGCATCATAAGCTGCAAATTTGGTTCAAGTCAACCATTTCTCACACTCAATTCAGAGCTCACGACTTTGCTCCTAGTTACCACGCATGAAACCGGAGTGGTTGACATAGGACAGAAGCTTAGGTAGGATTGCAACATCACATACAATTATCATGCCCATCAATGGGCAAAAAATTCTTATGCTCTTAAGTTAAATTTAATTTGGGATGGTGATCCACCCTCGTTCTTGTTGCCCGTTGTACAACATGATGTAACTCGTTTGATGAGCAATAAACTTTGAGGGTTTCAAAAAAAATTAAAAAAAATCATGGTCCTACTTTATGATGCAATGCGAATGGATCTCCATCTCTCCTTTTTTCTTTTGAGATAAGAATGAATCTCCACATACCTGCCAAGGTTTACCTACAGGACTGTTCCGACCTACTCACCGCATTAATGAGTTGAGTGTGGTTCACTAATACTCCCTTCGTTTTTTTTACTTTGCGTATTAGATTTTGGTCAAGTCAAACATTGTAGAGTTTGACCAAATTTATATTAAAAAATATCAACATCTACAATGTCATGTATACTATGAAACTACATTTCATAAAGAAGCTAACAATATTGATTTGGCATTGTGAATATTGATACTTTTCTCCATATGTTTGGTCAAAGTAAAGATACTTTGACTCCGGTCAAAACTCATATGCAGACTAAAAGGGATCAATATTGATTTGACATTGTGAATGTTGATACTTTTTTCCATATGCTTGATCAAAGTAGAGATGATTTGACTCCGGTCAAGACTCATATGCAAATTAAAAAGGATCGAAGGAAGTACTAGGATCATATATCAACGAAATCAAATGGCATGTAAAATTCCCAAGACTGAGAATTTCCTAAGAAACTAGTAGTATAACATGCTGGAAATCAAGTGGGTCTCTATTGCTTCACGTCCACACGGTGATTTGATTTAGACGGAGCAAATTGCAAAAAACCATCACAATTGGGTTGAAATTTTTAATGCTTCAGAAAAAAACCACCGGAAAACATGCATTTTGGTGGGTGTTTGATGACATTTGCACAATTGTGGTGTTTTTTTGCAATTTACTCGATTTGGACGCCATCATCATCTGAATCAGCGCTGACCGAAAAGCAAACATACCCAAGCTTGTGGCGGCTTTCCCGGACGCCGGTGGTATAGCCCTTGAAGTAGAAGAATCTGGCGACGGTGTAGAGGAGCCCCAGCGCGGCGGCGATGACCGGGTGCTGCAGGCCACCGAGCAGCAGCGTGGTGAAGAAGAGCGGCATCATCTCAACCGAGTTCTGGTGCCCCCTCTGCAGCGCCACAACACAAGTCCAGGAGAATTTTTTAGCTAACTCGTGTTCGAAATCAGCGGACGGAGAGGGCGATGGGGACAGACCTGGACGCAGTTGAAGGGCTTGGCATCCTTGTTCTCGGCCTCGGTGGCGTACATGGTGGGGTAGAACACCTTGTACCTGCAAGAACAAGCAGCGGCGCAGGATCGTCAAGCTCCAAGATCAAATTCTCCCGAGCAAAAATGGGCAAATCAATGGAGAAAGGAACACCTACTTCTTGCGGGCGGCGCCGACCTGGAAGCTCATCCAGAAGTTGAGGAAGGCGTAGGCCACCACGGTGAGCACCACGTAGCCGTACTCCTTCGTCAGCTCCACCGACACCGCCATCGTCGTCTACCTTCGTCTCTCCTCTTGGTTTTCCCTGGAAACTGAGATTGGATGGGAGAGCGAATGGAGTGGAGGTCTATCTTATAGGAGACCGAAGGTGTCTAGACAAAGTCCCAGATTGTAAGTTCCTGCCCACCGGCTCAAGAAAGCTTTGAAGCTTTGACCGGCTCAATAATGGGCATGCCTTGTTGAAAAGTAGGGACAGAGGCACAGCGCGAGATCATCATTGTTCATTCTATTGGAAATTTATCATCCACATCCCAACCTCTTGAAAAAAAAACATTTGCTTTTCTTGTGATGCGATTAAGCAAATTCAAATTCATTTATGTGTTTTCCCTGTACCTACGTTTTGACGAAAAAAGGTTTCCCCTACTTTATATATAAAGCACCAATACTTACATCCAAGCAACCGATACAAATGCACGCTAAACACAATCCAAGGCAAGGTACAAGAATGCCGAGCACCGATACACAACCTCAACGACTATCAAGTATCAGCAAAATGAGCAAAAAGAACCGTTTGCAGCCGACGAAGACCACCAACAAGAGAGAGATCCTCCAGGAAGA